CCCCAAAACCCCAAAACCCCAAAACCCCAAAACCCCTTTTAAGCATATCTCAATTGAACAACACAAATTTAGCAATCTTAACCCAGATGCTTGGTAACAGATTTTTGAGTTGGAGAAGAGAATGAGAAATAAGGAGCGCAAAGAACCTTGCTCATTTTCAAAACCTGTATAGGAGACTGTCATTTCCTCATCTGCTCAACTACTTTTTCTTTATATGTTTCCATATCTTTTTCTGAAAAATCATTCAATGATTGTCTTTCTGGAGTCATGACCATCTTTGGCCTCCCTAATTCAAGCAATTTCATACGGTGCCTAGGTCCTTGGGAAGACTTTATGTTCCTTGTTTTATCTAAATTTAGCCTAACAAATTACTCCTAGCCACTGGTTCGATAGTTCTTAGAACTTTTCTTCGTGACTTCTTATTGCTTATATCACCTGTATGGATATAAAAGCCAAAATATACATATAATTTTGTTGAATACTTGAGTTGCGCTTTCTTTGACTCTATGTTTCCTCTTAACCCTGCCAGCCGGGTTATCCAGATGTTGTCTTCTTAAAGACCTGAATTTAGATTTCCTTGGTTGTACTGTGCACTATGAAGACAGGATTAGAGGCTTTGGGTTAGATTTTAAGTTCAAGTGTGATCTAGAGGAGGCTTGTTACTAGTTTTAGCAATAGATAGGTGTGGTGCAGGAATATTAGATTATATCATAAAACTTTGAAAAGGAGAGATAGTGTCTTTTTATTTAACAGATAAAGGAAATGGGAAGATAATCATAACCTCTACCTTGAAGCTTGAATAAAATGGCCTTTTCCTGAAGGGTGATTTTCCAACTTTTTCTTCGATTATGTTCAAACTCGTGATTGTACCCTAAAATATTGATAGATTACTACCTCTTTATGTATATGAGTAGAGCTTATTTCTGAATCACTAAAATTTAAGTTCTCAAACTACCTGAGATCTTCAACCAATGAGTGTCAGTTTGATTTGCCATATGAACTTTTCTTTCTCAATATTTATTTAGGATCACTTACTTATTTTGATCTGATAGAAGAATTCAAGACTGATGGTGATTTCTAAAGCCGTTTATTGAATGTACAGTAAAGATCTCCTTCACTTGAGAAGAGTTTCTGGGTATTTATATCCTCAGGAACACCTTGTTGAAGAAGCATGTGAATTAATACTTACAAATTTTGCTTTATTTAGGAGCAATTTTGTCCATTATATTCCTAGAAGTATACATGAGAAAGCAAATGAAGACTTTACTTGAAGTAGAAATCTTCTGTGTTTCAGATCAGATCAGTGACCATGTTCCAGCCTAGTAAGATTATTAAAATTTTCTTAAAAATATTACACCTACCTTGGAAGGAGTTATCAAAGTGCATCCATCTTTCATGATTAAACAAGGAGTTTTTCTTAATCGCTTCAGAATGCTTATCTTTAGGTTTACTCTTGTTGAGCTGACTGCTGAACTTGCTCTTCTTACTCTACGTATAACTTATCTGCTTACCTTCATAAGATTTCTAAAGTTCTTCTTGGTGGAAACCTTGCCACCGGTGGAGAAGCACTTCACAGTGTTTGAGAAATTTTTATTTGCATAGAAGATATCATTTGCATTGGACTTCTGTCTTGCTCTAGTTTTCCGGTTGCTCATGGTCGAAGAGCCAATAGAGGCCATCCGGTTGACAGACATTTTTGAATGCATTTATTATTTCAATTCTCAAGTCCTTTAGAGGGGTTTTGGGGTTTTGGGGTTTTGGGG